CCATACAAACGACTCATTCACGACATAAACATCACAAACGACCGAAAAAGAACGACCTAACTTTACCGACAGATCGAAACAGACCAATCACGACCGACTTACGTCACTTGAGTCTTACAGCCAATAACATCACGGCAAAACCAACCGATCATTTCACACGAACTGGAATAAGAACATTCTACTGACAACAATCATTCACTTGACTCTAATGATGACTTCCGCACAGGTTGTCGAAACGTCAGTCACTACCACCGACAACAGTCCTTCTCAGGACTACACTCACCCGGACGATCAGACTACACCTTCACATGTTACCCCCGGGTTCAAACCATTTACTGCAATAATAGCTATTCAAAGTACGATTTTGAAAGCTTTTATTAATGCATATCTCGGCATTGAAATAACCTCAGGCAAAGTTCGACGATAACATGGAAGAGGTGGTAGTTCATTCAAAACCTTTTTGCTAATAACAATATTTCGGTCAGCAGATCAAAGAGCAACGATAAGGACTGCACTATCGAAGGCAATATCTGAGTCTTCTTCGAGGTGAGTAGAACCTTTGTACTAGCTCTTTGCTTGTGAATTATCACACCTCAGTGTTAAAACCTCTCTTGGTTATCCTTTCGGGATCATTAGGTCGCTCAGTTCCAATGTGCATGCTCAACTTAAATGTTTTTTTCAGAAGCTTTTTGAAATTGAAGAACGTTCAAATGATTGAAGTTTCTCTCTGTATGCGTATTTGCGTTGTATCTCCGAGTCGATCAACATCAATTTTACTTCTTACATGCCGTATGATGAAAGTCAGGAAGAACAATAAAGGATGAATTATGTGGGAATTATTGGAACGAACTTTGATGAATGATGCAATATGTGCACATATATTCAGTCTATGAGTTTCTTGAAGCAGTGTTTAAACGCAAATACCGGTCATTTAAAAGCAGTAACCTAAAGCATTTCATTGAAGAGGCGGACAAGCTAAAAAAAGTTATCTGGTGTGTCATCACGCAGTGTGTAATGTGTTTCACGTCACGACTGAATTAAAATTTAGTGTAAAGGAATGTACGTTTAATTTTAGTGTGAGATCAAATCACGAAATGGCTGAGTTGAGAGGTAAATGCTAATTTGTCAAAAGCGACCTTGAGGTTGTGGCATAAGGAACTTTATAGGACACAAAATATTCAGAGATTGTTCTTTAACAACTGGACTGAGTACTAGTGATTAGCCATTTAGTGTCTCAGAATGAAAACATACCCATTTGACAGATTTTTCAATCTTTTCTCGCAATTAGGTAGCAAACTTTTAATTACTTTAGTGATTTCTATATCATGTACAGTCAAAAATTGTTAGAAAGGCTGGTACTACGAAAGTTTTCCCTAATTTCTATATAGCGTGAATTCCCTGTCCAACTAATTATTACTGAAAGAACTGATATCTTCGAGTGCGTAATAGTTCTGTATGAAAAGGTCAATATTGAAAATGGAATACAGGCTTCTAATATTGTTAACTGCACAGTATTACTGAATACTGCTTTCCGCGATTGTAGATTCATGGAAAAATCGGAAAAAGGCTCCAACTTTGCTCAGATGTGTTCTTATTCAACGGAGATCATGGAGATGAAGTGTTCTTTCCCCGAACTTTCCTCTTTCCTCTTGGATTCTTTCCCCAAATAAAGTTGCTGCAAATTTTCAAAACGAGGTGCTCCAAATTAAAAGAATGTTGCTGCAAATTAAAACATCAAAAGTATGCGCGCGCACTGAACGAAGGAGGAGTGGGTATTAGGATCTTTATATTTACGAGCGGGAAGCTGTTATTCTTTTTTTCTTGGCCGGTGTGACTATTGGGACAAATTTCGTAAAATTTTTTGCAGTTCTTGCGGTGGGGAAGGCCCTTCAGCCGCAAATTTCTGTCATTAATGTGGTCAGAAACTTAATTTGAGTCAGGAGCAGGACTCGAGGAGAGATGCGGTCGATGACAGTAGAACTCGTTCCTCGTATTCCCGGCAGAGCAGCAGTCCATCTACAATTACGTTCTCTCAGTTTAAAGCCCGGAAAGGGGAAGATAGAAGGGGATACTTTCGTAGTAAACAACCGCTCATAAATATAAAGATACTAATACCCACTCCTTCGTTCAGTGCGCGTGCATACTTTTGATGTTTTAATTTGTAGCAACATTCTTTTAATTTGCAGCAACTCGTTTTGAAAATTTGCAGCAACTTTAATTTATTCGTTGCTGCAACTTTATTTTATTTGCAGCAACTATTTTAAATTTGCAGCAACTTTATTTTATTGCCGCAAGTTTATTTTATTTGCAGCAACTTTTTAATTTGCAGCATGTCTCCTGTGGGCTACCGAACCGTACCGTATCAAGGTGCTAGAGGTTTCCTGTTTTCATAGAAGTGACAGCCATGTTTCTTTGTACTGCTCTTAGTCTGACAAGTTCTCCATTGTGGAGAACAATTTCGTGTGGGAAAAAAATGCATGCACAGACTCATAGCTATATCTATTTTTATAGGAAATATTCTTCTATGATAAGTGCTTTTTCTAAAAAAAAAAACCTATAAACAGGTAGCAATCATATACAGCTGTGGATCTTCGGTACAAAATAGAAAGGAGGACTTTATTTTGCCTCCGGCTGAGTTTCTTTAAAATAAGCTAAAATAAACAGACAATAGTGCTTCAGCGTCTCTGTGCAGTTCAACTTAATCGCTTCACGAGAATATGTTAATCGCGGCCCATCTTAATTAATCCCGTTGTATGTCTCTTTCAATGAAAGTGTATTTCCCTCCATTTTTAACTAACTGTGGAAAATTTGTTTTTGGTTCTGCTTCGCTTGGCTTTATTCAGTGAAATGAATTTTGCTCTTCTGCTGTGAATATATATATATTTTTTTCTTTTTACCGTATTAGCAACTTAGGATATTAGTCATTTTCTCTCCATGCACAGCTCCTATAGGTCTTCAAACATCATGCTGCAAAGTAAACTTGTCTTTTTCTTCATGACCACATATCCTGTTGTCACAGAGATCCTGTTCGTCATTTATCCTGCCAGCTGATCCAAACGTAAACTCAGACCAACTCAGGGTCTATTCAACACAACCGCTATTTCCTATTTTAGATTCATCTGCCTGTCAAGGCATTTATCATGTTAAAACCTGTAGCCTACCGCTTTTGCGTCTTGCTTTTGACATGACACAGCGAAAAAGCGTGCGGTTTTACAAGCTCCGCCATAACTGTGTTCCGCAGCGGGTATACGAAAGAGCGCGCTTAGTTGCGCTGAAAAAACATTTCAACGAGAACTGGATGGATTAAATGGACTATCAGATACCGTTTCCCCAGAATGGCGGTATTCTGGTCTGTCCGTAGGTCAAAGCCGATATCTGATAAACGTTAACCTTGAATTAGCTAGTCAGACTAGTAAGATCCCGCACACGATTTTCTAATTGCTGAATTACAAGTATCCCCAGCAAGGCTTCTTAGCTAAGAGACATGACTGTTGCAGACACGAAATATAAATTAAGAAAAGCATAAGAAAAAATATGTCTATTTTGAAATTCAAAGGAAATTCGAGAAAAGAAGGGATCGATTGATAATAAAAGTCCTTAAATGTAAAAAATATGAAATTATTTAATATTTTACTCTTTAATATTTAATAGTATTCGTTTCTTTCGTGAATTCATGGAATATTTGTAGCACTTGCTTGAGGGCAGAAGCGACATAACGACCTTGCGTAATCTATTTTTATTTATAAAACTGTCGTCGTTTGTAGGCTGACGAACGAAAAACTTTTCATGTTTCTTGAAGGACTGATCGCAGTGTCCTCTTCGCGGAAACTTTCAATGGTCGTGCCGCTAAAAAGCAGCTTTTGTGGGTTCTCTGTGGTCGACAGCTGCCATTACTCATGACGAATATTTTTTTAAAGAAAGTTTCATTAACTTTTATTTTCACCATGCAGCTGCAATTTACCCCCTTAATCAGCTGTGGGTTTTTACTATTTTTTGTCAAATTCCGATCGACCTCAAATCCACTCGCGGTTTTTCATACGGTGAAAGTGGATGCTGCGGAGTTTGAGCAAGTTTCAGCAGCGAAACGAACCATAAAACCCAATAGCCACATAGACTATGTGTATACTTCGTTGGAGCGAATGGCACTCTGACGAGGGGCTAACGTTCGAAACGCTAGCTTTTAAACTCTTGACAGTGGCCAAGTTACATTATCGACTCGTTCCCCACCAACACGACCGCTTTTTTTTATGTAGATATTATGCTTTGCAAAATTTGCAATTTGCAAAATTGTTTTACTGTCATTCGTCGCAAGTGGCCATATACTACGCATTTTTGTATCTGTAGAGAGTAACTTGCGGGTTATGTTCTCTTACTTAGGATAAAGTTCCAGTCGTTTCAAGTTGTCATTGAAAACAGTCGTGACTTTCAAGAACGTAATCTTTTTCCCGTCCACTGTCGGTTTTACATAAACTCGAACATTCCTTTTTTCTAAGTTTGTTGATTCATTTTGTTTTGTTTTGTTTTGTTCGTAAATTCTGGAAAACCTGGCAAATGTTAATTCTTTTGTGTGGACTAGAACCTGTTTTTTCTTATTTATTAAGCCAAAACTTGTTTCCAAGGTCAAACGTGCTACTGAATAATCTTGTTCCTGAAATGTAAAGACGTCGCTGAAAACGGTTCAAACAAGCGAGGAATACGACTGCAAAAAGTAAGTTCTACTTGGTCGGTCACGACAAAACGAATACTACGATATATTACAAAGTAACTTGGCCTTTTGGCCATACCTGTTGTACCCCTTTCATAAAAACGAACAGTGTTGATTCTTCAGTAAACTAAAGGCGAACACGGCAATGAAATAGTTATGGGATAAATCATTGATACATCATCGTTTAACCTCAAATTTTGAGACCGAAGAATCGATGAAAAATATAGTATGGAATTGCATGTAACTTTGAAAAGTTAAGCTTCACTAACATGCTGGTAAAGTCGGTTGCTTTTAAGAATTCTCTGCTTACTATGATTTGATTTTACGTTAATTTGAGTCAAAGCGATTTTTATCTTGTGACGATACTACCACCGAGAGTTTCTGGACGAAATATTTAAATGAAGCAAGGCCAAACTTTTGTTATGACTCGGTGATGATTTTTTTGTGCGGAATTTCTATAAATGAATCAATATCTACCTTTGACTGCGAGATCATGCCGATGACGTCATGAAAATAAAGTAGTAGACCTAGCGAAGTAGACCTAGCTCTCAATGACTCGGCGAAAACTTAAATCGAAAAATAACGATTATGCATCGTTTTTCTCCACAATATCGTAATCTAACAAGAGATTATAATTTCTTGAATCTAATGGGCATAAATTCAGTGAAAGACATTGAATTGCCTTGACATATCGGCGAGACGTGACCAAATTCTTGATTAATGTTTGTGTTAAGCGGGGCCAGTTACTTAGGTGATCTTGCGTAGATGGAGTAGGAGTACCGCATTTCCCCCCAAGCGCCCACGTTCGAATGAGCGGTCTCCCGCGAATAAGTGCCCACCCTCTAGGCCAAAATGTCAAGAAGTGGGGGGAAATGTCAAGAAGTGGGGAGAAAAATGTCAAGAAGTGCTCTAGCCGCTTCCTGCGTGCTTTACTACAGAACAGAGCACAGTCAAGGTTTCTCTATTTGTTAATTCAAATGTACAACCGTTAAATGCTCATTTGCAACTGAAGATGACATGAGAATGTAAATTTAAACTCAAAGTTGTCGTTTCTTTTTTGAGAGTTATTGTCACTCTGCTGTCTTTACGTCCTTTTGGAAATGACTCAAAATTTGTTTTACGACCATGATGCAACGTAATCAGAGTGCGCGCACTGCCAGCGATACTCCCCAAGGGATACTTATGGTTGTTTATTTTATATGTTAATTCAGGTTTGGGTTTGCCGATAAGTTTGCAGGGAAGTTTGTCACACAACTACCCGAGTAGTTTTTGTCCTCGCCCGTTTTTCTACTCGACTTCGATACACTAAACCAGTTGAAAGCAGGTAAATACGAGCTCTACCGATTCTTTAACTTGAATGTTTGGGGTTTAAAAAAAGCAACGGTAGCTGCAGATGCTGCAGAAGTTGCAACACTTGCAGCAGTTGCTCTTCGATTGCGAGTCAGGCAAAAGTTAGGCTAGAACGTGACCTATCTTAGAAAATGCAGAACTTTGTAGTGTTGCACAACTATTGTAATTAGCACCACAACTATTGTAATTAGCACCTAAACACTTGCACCTCGTTACTCACACACACACCAACCACAATACCTGTAATTACCATATCTGCACCTGCACCCGTATATATCTGTAGACAACCTCATTAAAGTGCAGTTTTGAACACGATAAATAACGGTCAACAGTAGTAAGGTAGCAGTTTTCAGAGTTATTTGAGTACGTGACTAAATTGTGTTCACTAGTGGCGCTCGCGAAAGGATCAGAGGGGAACGACCGCCATTTTTCCTGAAGAAAATTGAATGTGTGCGAACCACATAGAGCAGAACACGTAAACATGTCCTCTCGCTCTAAAGGGATCGTGTTTTTAAACTTTGTGCGGTGAAAATAAGAAGATACTTCGTAATTCTGGCCGAACGTCATCAAAAGACAATTACGTCTCGAAGACGCTTCGAACCGTTGACTTAGATCCAATCTGGCGGGGTTCCAACATAAATTATACACCTATTCCCATTATGACTTCCGATTTGACACCATAATGGAGGTTAAGTCTACTAGTTTTTTTTTTTCACTAGCTCTGCACAGTCCTCCAACGATCACAAATTTAAACACAAGTTGCTGTGACGATACTATTTACTCACCTAGGTGGTTGGCCTTCTTCAATTTTCTCCTTTCCAAGTGGCAATTCTGAAAGCTAAATCGTATGTTTGTTTGAGATGCCGAATGTGGAATATTAAACGCAAAAATTCCATGTAGACCTACCTGTTATGCAAACACGATTTTCCTTGCTCACTACGGAACTTTAGGTGCCGGTTTTTTCTGGCCATCGTCTCCAAAATTATCATTGAGCTGTTAAACAGGAAGGTCTGTTTCACCATTTTACAGCATCAATTATAGATGGGTTGGCTGTTTGTATTGTAACGTAATCATGTGCGATTGGTTATCAGAACAGACAGGAGACGATAACATGCCGGTCTCCGTGACAGTATTGTTGACGTCAGCCGCCTTGGCCAATAGCTATCCAGCACTTTTTATTCAGTTTTGTCTCAGTGGACAAGACAGCACTTTTTGTGGTAAAACAATGAAATATGTTTGATGTGCATCACTTACTTAAATATCGATCCTTATAAAATTATTTGAAAGTTGAGCTCTTTCAACCATTCTAAGCCTGGATTTTGTTTTATCAGCAGTTGCATTGATTTAGAGTAAATCACAAAATTTGTTCTGATCGTTGATATTACACAAAAGCAAAGGGTTTTTATCAGGATTAACCAAAAATATTCCAAGAGGAAGTGGTGCATTGTTGTAACTGTCACTAGTGACACAACCAATTTATTGCTGGGAAGGTCATTCATCTTTATTTCATCAATCTGTGCATCTCATGATTTATGATATATCTTATTCTCTGTTTTGTTGTGTAGTATCGCTAAGTATTTTTGTGAATTGTGCTGTATTTTGACAAGCCCATAGGACAAGTCAAAATACAAAATACAAATGAATAAAGGCTGAAAGTTTCTAAAGAAACTGTGGTGCTGCGTCGGTGGGGGGTAACGAGGTAATTTAGTTATATCAACTAAGTTGAAATTGTAAATTGGCCACCGTAATGAGTAAAAAAGCTGACATTTTGAACGTTAGCCCTTCGTTAGAGTGAAATCCAATTTCAACTTCGTTGATCTAACCAAATTACAAAATACAAACTCTGTGGAAAATGGCATTAACTAAAGGGTAACCAGACAAGAATTTTTGGTGGGGAATTAATGTTGCTTCCACATGTGGATTTTTGTCTCAAAATAAAAAATAAAATGCCATGTGAACAATTTAGACTTTTGATAAGTACTTTTTTAGAAAAGCTTTTCAAGATAGAAATTGTGACTTGGAATAACATTTGACGATAAAAACTTGCGACAAAACATTGCTTGATAACATTGTAAAATTTAAAAAACGATAAAAAGCTATAGAAAGCTAAAATCGACGACGTTTCGATGTTAACACAACGTCATTATCAAGTCAAGAATGTTTAAAAATAAGTTCTATAAATACTAAAAACAAACAATAAGAGAAAATAATTTGCGGGTTAAACAAAAAGTTTAGCACTTATGGAGTCCGTTTTCATGTTCAGATTAGGTTTGAATTTCTTAATTTAAATCATTTCAACCACTAAGCAATAAAATTTGCTTTGACACTTTCTCAGAATCTTAAAATGACTATCATTCAAACGATCCCTCCTACCATGTGTCCAAGTGTCAAAGCAAATTTGAGCTAACCGCGAGGCGGTTTGAGCTAACGGGGAGGTGGTATTCATTCAGTATATCTGTATTCATACACTTTGTCAGGTCAATTGATATTCATCTCCTCTGACGTGCTCCTTTTCTTTTATAGTTATTTTAATTCATTAGCTTGTGAGTTTTTGTGTTCAGTGAGCCATTTACCAATGTTTTCTGTGAGGTTTGCTCATTCAAATGGCCCATTACAATCAAGAATTTTGCCATCAGCCTCTAGCTGATGGTTTTAGTTTTTTTTTTAACAACACGAGTCTGTTGGAAAGTTTCTAACTTTTAGGGTCTTGGCTTATAGCAGAGATCAGCTTATAGGTGAAGAAATATGGTAGTTATACACTACTCTCTAGTAGTACATGTACATCATATTATTGGGGCAGTCATGGTGTATTGAAAGAATGCATTTCATTTACTTCCTCCTTTTTGTCTGATCTTACTTTTGCAAGCCACCATAGAATCAAAAGTTCAAATCAGAATTTTTCATTGTCATAATTGAAGTTCATTTGAGGTGGTTTTTACCAAAATTAACAGATGTTCAAACGAAATTATTGTGTTCCATGATTTTATTACATTGTTTGCAAAGCTGTAGATGCATAACCAAACTCGCCATTTTGGTGTGGAGAACTATCTTTGAATATCAGCTTTGGCTGCAGAAAAATTTTACAACTTCCCACTTGGTAGCTGAAAACTGGTTTGTAGTGTTTATCATTGAAGTGCCATAATTTTTTTTTAGTGGCCATGGTGACCAAACTGTAAAAGCTTGGGTGAAGTGCATGTAATTGGCTGCACTTTTTGTGTGTATGACATTGGGTTAAGGTGTAATGGTGTTGTATAACTATAAACATAATTATGCATAGATTTTAGTGTTTTTCCCTTTTCAATGATATAAACTGTTGGTCTTATATTTTAAGACATATTATTTTCTTTAGAAGCTTATGTTTCTTGTCATCTTACTTTATTTTAGGATAAGAGAAAGGAAGAAATCCGATCCACAATTCTTTTTTCATCATGTGTGATAAAGATGCAGGTGACAGGCCAAGCAACTGCTCTTGTCCGTGTAAGAAGTTGCAAAAGTGTTATTCTCATGAAGCGATCATTGATGAACCTAGCAGTATTGAAAATTTGGCTCCAAGCAGAAGAGTGCTTAAGAGTTGTGATAAAGGTCAAGCTTATTTGAAAGCTTCCTTAAGTCGAGTTATGCAAACTATGCTAGTGTCTTTGGAGGGTTCTGAAGCCCACTTCATTTTTCTGTCTTCTCAAGGTGATTCTCCTGATGAATTGAATATTCTCCATTTCTTAATTTCCCTGGCTTCAGACACAGCTTACTTGGAAGAGATAGCAAAGGGCTTTGACAATTATCCTGGTGATGGTAATTTGATGAACAATGTGGGAGTGATGTTAACCCGGAGGGTGAAGTACAACCTTAGCGAGAAATGCTTTTTAAGAACATTACATTACTTTCGGGATAAAGAGGATCATCTGGGCATTGCTGTTGTTACTGTGAACTTAGCAGTCTTCCATATGATCTGTGGAGACTTTAAGAAGGCTCAGTCTTATTGTAATGATGCAGTTGAATTGTGCTTGGTTATCACAAAGGCCCCACCAGCTGATGTTCATCTGCTGTGGAAAGTGGTCTTCAGACTCAATCTCCTTTGTCAAAAACTTAAGAACTACAAAAGTTTTCATGAGATTTTGAGAGTTGCTGTGAAATTTGATGTTTGTGGCATTAGTGATGCTTTTGCATTGAAGTACATGAAGCAGCTTATGACTTTGCAACTGAAAGAACATGAAGGTGAAAAGAATAAACATGAGGAACTGGAAGAATTTGCGCTGCAACTGTTTGCTGCAGATGCATTCATGAAAACACAACCACTGACTGCTGACTTCATAACAACTGTTATGACATTGGCAGAGATGTACTGCACTATTAAGTGCCTCAAAGAAGCTAGGCAGTTAATTGACAAGTTGGAGGCAACATTCTTGCATGTTTATGGTGGAAATGGCCCATTCTTTGGCTTTTTACAGTATCAAATTGGCCACTTCAAAGTCAAGTATTGTGAAGCCAGTGAAGCACAGAGTGCTCTCCAAAAAGCTGAGGAAATCTTCATTCGCTACTTTGGTAGAGGGTATCACATGGTTGGTTCATGCAAGAGTGTACTGGGTACCTGCGCCTTGCACAAGGGAAACCTAAAAGAAGTGCATCATCATCTGAAGGAAGCTTGCATCTTATTTGAAAAATTAAATCACCACCACCCTGAAGTAGGAGAAATCCTTTTGAAGTTAGCTGACCTTGAGGGTAGGGCTGGAAATTTCGAGAATGCCAAATTAATCATTGAAGAAGCATTAGAAATCTTCATATCCGCTTGTGGTAAGGTCTCACTTCAGACAGCTTCTGCTTATCTTCAAGGTGCATCTATTTTGAAAAGGAAAGAAAAATTCATGCGTTCAGCTTTGGACAAAGTTAAGAAAGCCAATGACATCTTTGTGCACCATGGCTTGCACCATGATCATCCAGATGTTGCCTTCTGCCACTATTTACGAGGCCAGTTACTGCACTCCTTGGGTCAAGTCAAAGAGGCAGAAGAGGAGTTCCTCTTTGTACATCATCAGCTCTCATCAAGGGATGACTTGTCCATGAAGACCAAGGTTATTGCCCCTGAACTTTATCGAATGTTCTTTGTGGTAGATGCCGATGGCCTTGCCCTCAGAGGTTCTTGCTGTTCCCATTTTCTTTCTCTTGTCAGTCTGGCAGATATGAAAACAGGAGATGAAAAAAGAGGTCATATAAAAGAAATTTTCAACTGTTTGGAAGAGCTTGACTCCACGGTCCTGACAGTTTCAGATTATTTGGGCAAATATGTGCACTGTACATTGCAGAGAACTTTGGAGGCCAATGTGCAGGTTTACTTCACTTTGATTCTTAATTCTGCTACATCACTAGGAGAGGATGAGTCCTTTTCATCAAAATACAGTGGCAAGGAAAAGAAGCAACCAGGAGATTATGACAATGTGTACTTGTTGTCATCATGCAGTAACAATGGAAAGGGGCCACAATTTCTTCTCTTCTGGAAGACATCTGATGTCTTGGAAACAGGAGATATAAGCTGTGTAACCTCTTCTTTTCGTGAAAGTGTAAAACTGCTGTGTCTACAACCCAAGTTCAGAAAAACTTTCCTTGAGGGACAAGAGTTGTTCATGAAGCTGCCAACTCAAGAGCAATCACCTTCTGTGTCTTCTCTCTCTTCACAAATTGACTCTCTTCCACTTTTAGTTGAGCTAGAATTATCAAAATCACACAACCTGTGTGACAGCATCGATAGTTTTCCCACTGCATCTGCTGTTTGGCCTTTGGCACATGTGTCTTACTTTTCCTACAGATTTTCATCTTCTGATAAGGCACTGCTTGTTTTTTATAAATGGTTTTCAAGTTTAGGTAGAAAACTAGAATTGTCTGAGGTGCGTAGCATTTCAACCCCTGAGGTCTCTCCCTCTCAGAGAAATTGTGTAGTCCACTTTACTTTTATTGACCCAATCTGTGCCTCCTTGTCTCTTGCTGTTGAGGATGGATCTGTTCTTGTAAAATGTCGAACTGTAAAAGAAAGTGGGTCAACTTGCATTTGTTCCTCAGTAAGAAGTGCTTTGGAGAGCACTGCAGAAGCATGGGAGTCTGATGTTGTAGGATCAGTCTTAGAGCAAAGTCTGTGGTTGCCATGTGTAGAGGATGGTGCTGATTATGGTAAAAAGCGAACAAAATGCTATAGTGGTTGTAAGGATTCTCAAATGGAGTCATCTTCCTTCTCTGACCAAAAGTTGGATATACGTCCACAAACCAACTGGGAGCAAGATTCTGATATACTAAAGAAAGAACCGTCTGTTGACCTGTCACAGAATGAGGTAATGAAAAATTTTACCTTGTGCTGAAATCATTAAATTAAATTGGCTCATAAAAGCTTAAACTTCTCCACATAAATTTTTGTTATGGCATGACATAGATTTATATGTACTTGATGTAAGCTAGCTTACATGTATTTCTCTCTCTGCCAGCCTTTGGAGAAGAGAGAGGAGGGGCAGGGCTTGACACTAACAGTAGCCCACTAGCCACAGACTCGTAGAAATTCAGTTTTGGCTAGTGGTTTTCAATTTCCACCTGCCAGTTTGGCTAGTAAACAGACTGAAATTGTCGTAACATCTAAAAACATCTAAGATGTCACCGACCACTTGGCTACTAAGTTGAAAAACTAGTGTCAAGTCCTGAGGGGGCTACATTATGTAAGTGAAGGAGTCAAAAATGTTTTGTTCCCATAATCTTAAACAGTGCATTGGTTAAAGAGTAATCTTTCAACCACTGTTTCAGGGTGCATGTTTTTGAATCAGCAGAATTCTTTTGGAACTGTGGGTCATCTGTCATTCTGAAGAATTTTCCAAGATGCACTGATAGAATAGGAGAGGTGTTGAATTTTCAAAGATGTTTAGACCATTGACCATGCAAAAGTATGATTAATAAAAGGGGTGTTTAAAATGTTTCCAAGTTTAGTTTAGTTAAAATGAGGGAATGTACTGGACTGTGGATCAATTGTTCTGGGTTCAAGCTGTTGCTGGGGTCACTGAGCTTTCCTCTTGGATCAGACTCTAAAAGTCACTGATTCAGAATTCATAATGGATGGTATTTCTAGTATAAAATGAGTCCATATTCAGCAGGAGCTGAAGGTTTACCTGAAAGAAGGTTTGAGTATCATTTTTCATTTAGCCATAGCTGGGAGATGTTGTCAGAAATTAAGTTTGAAAAGATTAGTAATGACTTGCTGTATTATTTTCATTTGCTTTTAGTTGACTATGATTTCTCATTTGACAGGATACCGAGTGCCCATCATTCACTGCCCACCCTGATGACACGCTTGGCACAGATGTTTGTGTACAACTTTTGGAGTGTATTTTGAGAAACAGACAGTTATCTTTAGATAAACAACTTTCAGGCATTAACAACCAATTACATACTACTGATGGCACAGAAGAACATGTCAACTCTCTGTTACTTCCTGTGTCATCCTCATCACTGAACTGTTTGCCTTCAAGTCAATATGATGCCACAAATGAAAAACCAGAGTTTAAGCCAGAAGCTTTTCCATGTTTGGAGGATGTCATTGAGGAAACATGTGCAGGAAAGGAGACTGGTAATGTTTCAGACACACCATCAACATCACAGGCAGTGTTTTTCAACAGTCACTACTCTGAGAGTGCAGCAGAGAAGTCAAATTGTGAAGAAGGTTTAATTGCAGATAATCATCCTAGCCCAGAAACCAAGGAAAATTTGCTACCAAATGTAATTCCTCAAGAGGCCTTCAGTGTTAAAGGGGTTGGTACATGCTTCCACAAAGAGGAGTCTAGGGAGGACCAAGGAATAGAAATTGATCAGAGTCCTGGACCTTCATTTACTACAGTTGGAAGGGAGAATGACAGAGGGACTGTTGCCATTAATGGCCTTGTTTGTGAATTGCAAGGTGAAGTTGCCTTCTACCAGGATCAATGTCGTAAACTAAGAGAAGAAGTGGTAGAGCTGAAAGAGAAGTGGAAGCTCTCTGAAGATGAAAAACAAGACCTTCAAGCTGAAGTAGGAAGACAGTTGTTTCTAGAAAGCAAAGAAAAGCGATCCATCAAGATTTATCAGCCCCCCAGTGAACATGCCAGTAGGACGAGTATGCCTGGTAGAGTAAGAGGTGCATCTCATGACTTCTCAGTTATGGGGGCTAAACTGCTTGGTGGTGCGGGTCCTTTAAACAACTCAGGTAAAGACTCTTTTTCATTTCAAACTTTTTACCACATGGAATGTGCATCTATCTTACCTAGTAAATAAATATTGTGGCTATTATGCTCCACCTAGGATTCATACTAATTGTATGTTATAAATTACTTTACTACAAAATTTCTACTATGAGGTACATTACTTACCATGTCTTAAAGATGATAATCAGAAAGTATGCTTGAATAGTAGTGATCATGACTTTCTGTCTTCATCTTTAATGCACCTCAAAAGGCAGTAGTGAATACTACCAGAATCTAGAACCTTGTTTAATAGCCATTTAGTCAGTATGATAAGTTGTTTCTAAAAATTTAGGATGTACACTTGCCTTTTTTTTGAAATTCCACTATGAGAAAAAGGCTCTCAAAATTTCACCTTTCTTGGATGTGTATAAATGCTTGCATTATACTATTCCAAGATGTTATTGATATGAATAAGAGAGAAAACTACCTGCATTTCTAACATTTGCCTTGCATCTATTTTGTGCCTGTCCTCTTCCAGGTTTCTTATTTCAACAAAGACTTCAGGAGATCTCAAATTCATTATCAGAATTGGAATTAAGCAGAATCAAGAGCCTTGTTCGACCTTTATTGGATTGCCTTAGACTTGCCAGGATCAGGGAGGGTTCTGAGTTGTTTGAGGAATTGGAAAGAAAAGGGGAACTTTCCTGTTCCTTTGTTAGAGATCTCCTGAGAAGAATCCATCGTTTTGATCTTGTAGAGAAACTTGCTGTACCTTTTCACAATGGTGATGAATCATACAGAGGGGAGTCTTATTTATCTCAAGAGAAAAATCAACAGAATGAAGGGTCTGAAAGTGTTTCTGGTGTTGATGGTAAGCAGGCTGATGAAGTGGAAGAATGGAATGACATTTTTGACAACACTGAAGATGATGGAGAGGTCCAATTTTCCAACAGTTCTAATATAAACCCATTTAACAGTGATAGTGAAGTTGCTGCTATTACTTTTCATGCAGAGATCATAAATGAATCAAGTTTTGTAGACATGGATTTGTCAAAGGAAAGATGTGACTCAGCCTCAAGCTTGTCTCAGTCATTTGATGTGCCAAGTATTGGAGTGGTATCCGAAGAGAGGTCTCAGTCACTTTCAGTTACAGGTGAACAATTTGAAAGTGGAGAGCTGAAAGGAGCATGTGGTGCTGGAAATGAAAGGGGCAGGGAAGGCTCAAATGAATCCTCTCTTCATGATGGTGCAGAGCAACAGTTCAATTTTAATCATCATTTCAATGACATTGTAGATGGTGCTGTTAACTTACCAGATAGAGCCCAACATAGTTTAATGCTAGAAGACTTTACTGGTGAGAATCAAGATTCTCTTCCTTATGGAGACACAACACAGAGGCAAAATGTTTCAGGTGCAAGGATCACTGTTAAATAGGACAGGGCTGTTGATCAGTCTGATTCTCATGTGAGCAATGAGTCAAACAAATGGGAGCATTTAGGGGCCAGACCAAGAGACAGACCTCCTAAAATAGATAGATCTTCAGAAACTTCTTTGCTTTATTCATTCGAAAATTTAGTTCCTCCTCAAGTTGGTGGACCAGTGGCTCACGGAGTGGCCAATGCATTCTTAGCAAGACACTCGGAAGACAAACATCTTCATGAAAGTCTGTATTACACTAATGCTGAGGAGATATTTACTGAAAATTCTTCATTACCAGGAGCTTCTCATGTAGATGGCATGAAAAACTTGATGGACTCAAACAAAGCTAAACAAAACCTGGGTGACTCTCAATTTGCTAGAAGGCCAGATCCATATAATCAACCGCATTCCTTATTGTTCCATCAGGCTGGTGGAGTGTACATTGGAGGAAATAATGGCTTAAACACTGACTTTAACTTGTTAAATCCTATTATTGCCAATGACTTTGCTCCTTGTACAAGAATGCAAGATGGGACTTTTCCATATTTACAAAGGGATGAACTTCATTCAGGGTTCACTGGTTCAGGATTGACCTCTGATTTCATGCAGACCACAGGATCTCAAACAGGTGCTTTTAACACATCAAATTCCAATTTCTCAGTAAATGACTATGCTCTTGGTACAAAAGAGCCTCAAATACCACCAGATGGGCATTTTACAAGTTTGCAAATTAATCAACCACCTCAGCCAGGATTCAATGGTTCAGGTTTTTCTTTTGACCTGACAGGGACCACAGGACATGAAATGACTCCTTCTGCAACTGTTACCCATAGAAACAGTGACCTTAGTGGCAGTTCATCAATGTTACCTTCAACAACAAATCTGGGATTATTAGGAACTTCATCAGTTAATATGCAAACCTATGATTACCGTCCAGATGCTTCCCCAACAGCATCTTCAGGTGCAAGGGCTAATGGATTTGACAGCAAGCTTTCAGCAGGATTAAAATCAAGTGGAAGTAGTCAGTTATTGCCAGTCACAACAGGAAGGGATGTTTTGAATACATCTGGTCAGGGTAACTCTAGTAGCAATGCGATGAACACATCTGGTGATTGTTTGGCCTCTGCCCATTATAGAGAAGGAAGCAGGGCCCATAATTCTTCAAGCTCTTGGTTAATATCTGGTACCAATACAGGAGTAAGTCTTAATCAACAACCTGGCCAAACTGGTGAATGAGTCACCAACAGAAACTATGGCACAGAGTCGGTGGAGTCCACAGATAACTCCTTGCTTGAATTGGAACAGCGTGTTGAGGAAGCTTGTGCAATGGTGGAAAGAGTTCTGCGGGAAAGGGAAGAAAGAGAAGAGTTTGGTCGGGAAATTGAAAGAAAAGAGCATGAAATACGAGCAGAAAGAGCACGGAAGAAGAGAGAAAGAGAAGCAAGAGAGCTAGAGGAAGCCAGAGGATGGCCTCAACAGCAGGAACCAGTTACTGGACAGTCTTTGTGGCTTTGTGAACATTACCAACGTCATTGTAGAGTGCGTTTTCCTTGCTGTACGAACTTCTATTCCTGCCACCGTTGCCATAACAATTCCAAAGAATGTGACAATGAGGAAGCCAAAGCAAGTCATGCTACTCACCTTAAATGCAGCTATTGTCATCATGAACAAGAGGTAAATGAAGGGTTTTTAGTCGTGTCTTTTTTTGAGGGTGAAACAAAAAATGCAGGGTAGAGATTCATGACTTTGTCCTCTTTTTCAGTAATTTTGTAAACTTTTATGGTGAGTAATTCATTAGGATGCACTTTCTATGATGTAAAATCTCAGAATGGTTACTACACAATGTACATACAATTTTAGTTGTCTTAAAAAACAAACGAACAAACAAGAAAACAGGCAAAACAAATCTCAATGTATTTAAATACCAAAATGTTTCCTGCTTTCCATGGTGAATACAATGGCCACAGCTTAGAGCACTGCTCTCTCTTTGATAAATGAGGCAATCTATGCTTAGAACTCTGCAATGATAATTTGCACTTATGTACTTTGGGAGACTTGATTTTCCAAATCATTTCCTTTCAGATTGGTGAAGACAGTGCTAAGTGTCGTAGCTGTGGAGCAAAGATGTCAGCTTACTTCTGCGCTATTTGTAAACACTTCACCAGTATCGACAAAAATCCATACCACTGTGAAAAATGTGGAATATGTCGGTAAATGACTAAACAAATTCTTCAGTTAATGAGAAACTTTGCTATGGTGTTTTCCTCATCTTTTTATCTTCCAAGGCCACATTAGCTTTGTCAAGGACAGTAATTTCAACCTTTCTCCAAGAGTCATCCCTTTGCAACCCACAACACTGAAGTCATAGGATTTTTTTTTTTTAAGTTTTTCTTACCTTGTAGCTAACTTTCCAGATCTTATTTTTCTATCATTTATAGTGGAGCAGTGGTCTTATAGTGCTATGTTTTTTTGTAGCATACATAAAGACAAATCATTCCACTGTGATGTGTGTAATGTCTGTCTTGACAAGCGCCTCCAAGGAAAACACAAGTGTAGGCCAGACTCTGGCCACGATGAGTGTTGTATCTGTTTGGAGGTGAGCTGTTAACTTTAAAAATACTAAACCATAGGTTTTAATCATTTTTATTATTTTTGTAACTGTAACAGTAGTTGATATTTTCTTATGGGTATCACTGTGTTCTTCCCAAACTAATGTAACCAAAATCACCTACACACAAGCTGTGTTCTCTGACCACTTTTATACCCTATGAAATTTTTTCTTTATTTTCCTAAAAGACATGTAAATGTACTTTTGTTCTACATGTTTATATACTAGAAGATTAGTTTTCACCTTCTTTTTATCCCTCATTTCTTGGCTATCTAATAACACTGCTCCAATCATAAATTCAATAGAGTAATTTTTCATGGTTTTCATGTAGGATGCTTTCAGTGGATGTCAGATTTTACCCTGCTCACACAAGGTTCACCGGGAATGTGCAATAGCCATGATACAGAATGGAATGTAAGCACTTCTTTAATCATTTTTTCTTGACCTCTTTACCTTGTTTGTTTATTTCTGATGTTGTGTTGGAGTACACAATTTTCACTTGTTAGTCATCTCTTTCCTAAGGAAAAAAAAAGTTTGGCTTAACATGACTGACCAGATTATTTGCTTCCTTTGGAAATTCTTACATTTTATTTGTTAAAGTTTGCCCTCAGAAAGTGGCTATTGATCTTATGCCTTAATGTAATTAGGCTTAAGTTTGTCTGGTTATGGAGGCTTTTGTTTGCAGTCCTGAAAGAGTCTGTTGTTGATAGTGGTGCTTGCTATACCAAAAACCTAAGGAGAAGTTATGAGAATCATTTGGGTCTAGATTAAGGCATTAAAGTGGTAGGAAAATAAATTAAAATCCCTGTGGTGTCTCCTTTTGTAAGCAACAACCTTCCCTTAGCTATGGTGTAAGCTTGCCTGTTTCAAACATTGATATTTCTCTACTCCACTTATTTCAATTATCTCTTTGAACTGCTTTACTCAAAAGCGATGAATAGATAAACAATCCAATAACTAGACAATGCAAAGGAATAATAGAAACAACAACTTAAAAAAAGTCAGATTTTTTTTCTTGCAATTGAGGAACCCATTCAGCACCTTGCTCTCTCTTACATGTGGGAAATCAGGTTTCTACTGTGGGTCTTGTAACCTACATAAGTTAACTACAGTGTACAGGTAGCAAAAATTCTTTGTGTGCCAATGAGAAGTTATTGTGTGTTTTTGTTTTAGTCGTACCTGCCCAGTGTGTAGACACCCACTGTACAGCCCAGCTCCAGAATGAAAACTGCTGCTTTTGGTGATGGTGATTCTCAGTTGCACAAGGCTCTGTTGTTATTCAGAAGAACAAGTGTGCTACGGGGGAAAAGTTTTTTTTACATTTCTGATGTGTGTAAATTTATCTCCTTATTTAACAAGTATGCATCATGACAGAAACAAATTTGTACATTGAAAAATTGCTTTCAGTTAGGTTTTGTTCTTTGAAGGCTAAACATCTCTGACAAGGAAACAATTTTGTTCTGCTTTGAAAAGAAGAGAGAGCATGTTCTTAAACTGAAAAAAGGCACATGATATTTAATTCATTACTTGTTTGTTGAAGTTATTTAAGCTCGTTTGAAATTTATCTTTGCTGAACTTTGAAGAATTCAGCTGTTACATTGTATTTTGATATGTATTGTGATCAATATTACATATGTTCAATTAAATAAGTATCATTAATCAAGGTCTGACTTTCTAAATATTGGAAAATTGCAATCCACTTGTGCACTTCATTATTAGTATACATAGTCTTTGACAGCACACTATTCGTGATAAGTTAACAGTGGCCACCCTCAAGCATCCCCCCATCCACCCCATTCCCGGCCCCCACGTGATTTTTTCCAAGATATATATCGTAAAGCTTTTCATGAAAATTTTTATAGAGCCTACCAAAACTAGTTTTTCGGAAAGTAAGCAACCTGAATGGTTACAATATACAGACAATGGACATCTCGGCCTGTGGACCATGTTTATCTGAGTGAAGTAACCTTTCCATTATTAGTTACAGTTACCAAGAAGAACCCCTTAATAGTCTTTATCACAAATTAAGAACACTTCTTATCATTGAACAATGTCAAAATACAAATTTAATCCATTAATAGCCGCAGCTTTTGTGAAAAACTGTGTTTTGAAGCTAGTCCAGCAGATTTCGGGTCACTGTTGTGGGTTTAAAAGCTCAAACTTACCACAAACCCATTGACAGCTTGTACACTCGACGGCCTTTCGATCCAAATGCAAAATGGCAGCTTGAAAATCTCGGGCATGTGCAGAAAGCAAAATTTTTGGGTTAAAAAGTAATGCCCCACTTACGACTTTTACATTTCTTTCTTTCTCCTGCCCTTTTTTTCCCCCTTTCCTTGCCTGAAGTTCCTCCTCACTTGCTGGAGATTTAGTAGGCTTCATTTTGGTGTAGAGATGTTTTAGGAAACTACTCATTATTTTCAAACCACATGCTCAGAAAGGTAGGTGGGTAATGGAACGAGATTTTCGTGCAGATTTTCAGGTCAAAGTTACATGGTTTTTTGGCTATTTCTCTAATCTCCTTCACTCAATTGCGCTCATTCTGGTATCGTTTGTAAGATATTTTCAACCTGTTCAAGTACGTGCTAAAAGTCGTGCTCCAGGGTTAAAAGTGATGACGTCATAAGGCGTAGAAAGGGTGTGGGTCCACATGGGCGCTTACGGGCGCACTGGACATCAATAGGTTAATAAACCTTTTATAAAAGAGTGCATCAGTGCTTGTAACTGAACAAGTATATGAAAATGCATTTTAAAAATTTCCCTGGAAGTGGACCCCCTAAATTATGAACTAATACAAAAAGTCCATTCCCAGTCTTTCAATAATCGTTATTTATGCTCTTCTGCAGTAGTGTTATGCAAGGATTGTTGTTATAAACGGAAGAAGTGATACTAATGACAAGAGACAGTTGGATGCCAAATGAAATTCCATAAGAGACCTGCAGTAATGGTGTATTGAACTAGAGCCTTTCATTACTAACTCCTTTTTGTTTAGTCTGACTTTCTCAAGCCACCATGATAAAAAAAAGTCCAATCAGTAATTTCAAGTTTTCTTTATTCATTTAGGTGGTTTTTGCCAATAAATTGCACAGATGTTAAAGGGGAAATTGTTGGTTGAATGTTGTATAGTCGTGCTCTATGATTTCGTTTAGCTGTTTGCACAACTGTAGATGCACACTCGGGTCGAACTTACCATTTAATATGTGCAGAAGTATCACTGAATATCAGCTTTGACATCAAATTGTGAATACTATAAGTTTAACAAAATTAATGTTACCACTTGCCACACAGTGGTTGAAAACTAGTTCCCAGTTTTCAAAATTTAATGGCCATAAATTCTTTTCTAGTGGCCATTGTGACCAAAACAGTCACTGCTTGAAATGTAGTAAATGTAATTGGCTTTACTTTTTGCACATTGACATTAGGTGAATGTGTAATGGTGTTGTATACTTGCACACATTGACATGGATTTTAATATATTTCCCTTCTAATGACCCCTGCTGGTAATATATTATAAGATGTATTAGTTTCCTTAGAAGCTAAATGTTTTTTCTTGTTGTCTTACTTCATTTTAGGAAGAAAGAAAAGGAGAAAAAAAATCTGATCTTCAAATCATCTATCATCATGAGTGATAAAGCTGCTTGTGACAGGCTTCTTGAAAATTTGCAATTTTATTTTCTCCATGACAAGATCACAGATGGAAGTAACAGTATTGAAAAGTTGTCTCGAATCATTAGAGCAGTCAGTGGCTGTGATGAAGGTCAAGCTTACCTTAAAGCTACACCAAGATATGTTGTACAAACTATATGATATGTAGGTTCCTTAGAAGGTTCCAGAACCAACTTTATGTTTCATCCTCCTCAAAGTGATTCTTGTAATGAATTAAATGTGGTATATCTTGCAAGTCTCCTGGCTTTTCAAAGTGGAGACATTGCTTGTTTGGAAAAAATAACAAACTGCCATCAGGACTCTCCAAGTGATAGTTATTTGATGATCATTGTGGGAGCAATGTTAAATCTGAGGATGAAGTATGAGCTTAGTGAAAACTGCTTTTTGAGTGCATTGAGGTACTTTCCACGTGAACAGAACCATCTGGGCATTGTTATTGCTACTGTTAACTTGGCAGCCTTCCATAAGGTCTGTGGGGGCTATCGGAAAGCTCAGTCTTATTGTAATGCTGCAGTTGAGTTGTACCAGGATACTGCAAGAACCTCACCAATGGACAATCATTTGATGTTGAAAGTTATTTTTAGACTTGCTCGCTTGTCTAGGGAACTCATGATCACAGACTACAAAAGTTATTTTGATAGTCTCAGAGTTGCTGTGAAATTTGACATTCAGATGACATTAGTGGTGCGTTTGCACTGAAGTACATGAAGCAGCTGATGTCTTTGCAGCTGAAAGAACATGAAGATGAAAAGATTAAACATGACAAACTGGAAGAATTTGCCTTGCAACTGTTTGCTGCAGATGCATTCATGAAAGCACAACCACTGACTTCATAACAACCTGTTATGACCTTGGCACCATTAAGTGCCTCAAAGAAGCTAGGCAGCTAATTGACGAGTTGGAGTCAACATTCCTGCATGTTTATGGTGGAAATGGCCCACTCTTTGGCTTTTTACAGTACCAAATTGGTCACTTCAAAGTCAAGTATTGTGAGACCAGTGAAGCACAGAGCACTCTCCAAAAACCTGAGGAAATATTCATCCACTGCTTTGGTCGAGGGTATCACATGGCTGGATCATGCAAGAGTCTACAGGGTACCTTTGCCTTGCACAAGGGAAACCTAAAAGAGGTGCATCATCATCTGAAGGAAGCTCACATCTTATTTGAGAAATTAAATCACCACCACCCTGAAGTAGGAGAAATCCTTTTGAAGTCAGGTGACCTGGAGAGTAAGGCTGGAAATTTCGAGAATGCTAAATTAATCATTGAAGAAGCATTAGAAATCTTCATATCCACTTGTCGTAAGGTCTCCCTTCAGACAGGTCTTGCTTATCTTCAAGATGCATCTATTTTGCAAAGGAAAGGAAAGTTTGTGTGTTCAGCTTTGGACAATGGGAAGATAGCCAATGACATCTTTGTGCACCATGGCTTGCACCATGATCATCCAGATGTTGCCTTCTGCCACTATTTACTAGGTCAGTTACTGCACTCCTTGGGTCAAGTCAAAGAGACAGAAGAGGAGTTCCTCTTTGTACATCATCAGCTCTTGTCAAGGGATGACTTGTCCATGAAGACCAAGGTTATTTCCCTTGAACTTTATCAAATGTTCTATTTGGTAGATGCCGATGGCCTCTTCAGAGGTTCTCTCTGTTCTCATTTTCTTTCTCTTGTCAGTCTGGCAGGTATGAAAACAGGAGATGAAAAAAGAGGTCATATGAAAGAAATTTTCAGCTGTTTGGAAGAGCTTGACTCCATGTTCCTGACAATTTCAGATTATTTGGGCAAACATGTGCACTGTACATTGCAGAGAATTTTGGAGCCCAATGTGCAGGTTTATTTCACTTTGATTCTTGATTCTGCCACACAACTGGGAGAGGATGAGTTCTTTTCATCAAAATACAGTGGCAAGGAAAAGAAGCAACCAGGAGATTATGACAATGTGTACTTGTTGTCATCATGCAGTAACAGTGGAAAGGGGCCACAATTTCTTCTCTTCTGGAAGGCATCTGATGTCTTGAAAACAGGTGATGTAAGCTGTGTAACCTCTTCTTTTCATGAAAGTGTATTACTGCTGTGTCTACAACCGAAGTTTAGAAAAACTTTCCTTGAAGGACAAGAGTTGTTCATGAAGCTGCTAACTCAAGAGCAATCACCTTCTGTACCTTCTCTCTCTTCACGAATTGACTCTCTTCCACTTTTAGTTGAGCTAGAGTTGAGCAAGGCCTTTAACATGTTTCCAGTTGTTAAGGATTCTCCAAAATCATTAAAAAGGGCAGGATTTGATGTATATAGTGTATCTTGGATCTTACTATAATTTCAGAGCTGAGCAAAGAGTTTCCAGCAATCTGATAGGTTGAGTGGTTCCTTATATGACATTATATAAACCACTCCACGTGGTTTATATAAAATGTTAATGAATGTTACTATTTATGTTATGATTTTAGAAATTTCTCTCTAGTTCAGCGCTGAAGTTATACTAAAACAATTATTCACCTCAGGCTCAGGGAATATTGTCAAATAATCCCCTTGACTTCGTCTCGGGAATTTTTTGACAATATTTACCTCGCCTTTGGCAAATAATTGTTAATCATCAATAGGCTGTGCTTGAGAATATTAGGAAGAAACTGTGATGATTATCACAAACGAGAGCATCAAGCAAAATGTTAGACAAAGTGTTTTTGAAAATAATGAGCATAGGGATTAAAGATAAAATGTTTGAATGCTCTATTTAATTGTTATGTTGACTGTAATTTTTGTGTTGATAGCATAATAACCAAGATGTGGATGCAGTTTGTACAGATTGTTCCATGTACAAATACTGGTAAGTATGGATACCAGACACATTAGATTTTTCAAATATCTTTGCCCTTCTGTAGTTGTGAATTTGATACTGTTCAGTATAGCTAAAAGAAGCATGGAAAACAGAAAAAAAAACTATCTGTAATAAATCAGCTAGCACACTAGACCTCATTTGAAGGTGTCCTGGTTTGCACCCCACCCAGGTCATTATATATTATGTTCTAGGAATAGGTACTTATTCCTACAGTGCCTTTCTCCGGAAATTTGCAGAATTTTAAATGAATACTGGTGAACTCACTAGAACCTGGAAAAAAAAAGCTAGGTGTAACCTGAGTGAGTGATAGACTAACATCTCATCTAGGAGGAGAAATTTAGCCATCCCCAAAACTGTCACCCTCCCAAAAACCCATGCACAAACGTATTTTGATATTAAATTCACCTTTTAATCATTACAACAATGAACAACATATAAAAGGTTAAAATTTTATTGATTGACAGGTATAATGACAGACTCTAATTTGTCGCAATGCAAATTAATCAGCACAACCCCAAACAGTAACATCGATGTCATCTTCCAATAAATCAACTGTTAATTAATGGAGGCTCATTTTTATGTTTTTCAAGTTCTATTTCATCTTTATTTGTTTTGCCTTTCTTCCAGTGGACCTTGCAGGGTTAGACCACAGAGTGGCCATGACGAGTGTTACATATTTATGCAGGTAATTTCCTGGTTGTCAGAGAGCAAGGATCGATGATTTCTTAGCTGAGAGGACATATTAGATCCTTTCTCTCTGACTCCAACTCCTGTCATTTACCATCAAGTACACTGTAACCCCAGCTCCAAAGTCTTTGGTAGCTGTTTTTTTGTCCCCTCCTGGCAGTTTGAGTGGGCATGGTTCTACTTAATCCTAAATCTAATAATCTACCTTAGTTGCAGGGTCAAATGGTTTCACTCCTGAGATCAAAATATGAATTCTCTTTACTGTCTGAAACAGATCTCTGTAAATATGAGCTTTGAGAAAATATGTTGTTCAATCACATAGAATTCATTTGTTGATATTTGTACTTTCCCCTTCCCCATTGTCAGCATTAAAATGTAGAGATATTGCAAGAGAAATAACTTAATGGAAGGCTAGGGTCTAGTCCTATTTGTGTAATGTGATGTTTACATTTTTTATATAATTTTGTATCCTTTTTGCATAGTGACTGTGTTGTGAAAGTGAGCTTTGTAGTTTATATGGTTTATTAAGTTTACCTATGTTGCCTCAATCACAAATATGTCATGTATGCATTCTCTATACAGATCATTGTTACTCAACCTGTGCCTTTTGATTTTCCTTTTTTTTAAAACTGAGCTTTGAGAAAATATGGTGTTCGATCACAAAGAATTTATTTGTTGATATTCTACTTTCCCCTTCCCCATTGTTGGCATTAAAATGTACAGATATTGCAAGGAGAAATAACTTCCTGAAGTGCTAGGGTTATCCCCTTCACGTGGAGGTGCCAAGACTTGAACTTGAAAGAACTCAAAAAGATATTAGTTTGTCCGATAAACCAAACAGGCAATCCAACTAGCTTACGCAAATCGTATAATTTATTCCAGTATATTATTATTCGATCTAGAGAAAAGAAATTAGATACATTTGAGAAACTGAACAGGATCTATCGATACATAAACACAAGAGTCAAACTATTAGCTAGAATTGCAGCACTAATAACTTACTTCTGTGGCGATGTCTAGTAGGATTGTTTCACGGTATACAAGTCAGCAACAGATATAACAGATCAGGGTAAAACAGAATACGGGTCAGCGCGACAGGTCAGCAAAACATGAAGGTCACTTCGAATCTATCCATCTGAACTGAAAGCAGACTTATTTACGTGGCTTAATTGCGAAACTTAGTGTCAATCAAAGTCAATCAGGAAATCAAGTTAATAATTCATTGTATTAACGAAACATTAGTCATTCATTGTTTCATTAGATACTTTTAACCAAGAACCAAAAAGTACTATTTTAAAGTGAGAAGAATGTTCTTGTAATGTGTATTTTCAGGACACACCTAGCGGTTTACAGGTTTTGCCATCCTCCCAAGAGATACACTGGCAGTGTCTTGTCTGGCTTATTCAGCACAACATGTAAGTTTGTCACAATTCAACTAGCTTCAGAAATCCCCCATCGTCACTGAATGGCCAAACTGGAGCATTTAATTTTTTTATTATCTAAGCTTTCATTTTCCCATGGTCACCGGTCTAAACTGTAGATATCGAAACCCCTATATCAAGTTTATAGGACTGGCTATCAGATTATACCAGAAATTTTGAAACAAAAATTAATTCTCGTATTTTTCACGACTTCTAAATGCGAGCGCCCGAATCACCGTTTAAGAGCTACATGTCAAAGTGAATTTGTTCGATTTCTCTCAAATTTTGACAGTAGCTAGTTTTACATATAAACAACAAAAGCGGGTCTCCGAGTTTTTTATTTCTAAATACCTTTTTTCAAAAGCGATTTTTGTTCGATCACTCCACATTTTTTTAATCGTATTTCAAAAATGTTCTGTAACTTTTCACTGAAATTGAATATGGCAAATCGCAGACACCT